AATTAATCGCTTATTTTGACTGTTAAACTCTTTCTTAACTTAAGTGATTAGGACTTACATGTGTGTTAAACAAAACAAAAAGGTAATTAAAAAGGATAATTTATGCGTTTCTTTAAAGGTTTTGTTTGTGTAAGTCATAAAATAAAGTCATTGGCAGCTTTTAGTGGATCCATTAGTTTTTAAATTGATATATAAGAAATTATGAAAATAATGAGCTATTCTTGATAAGTAGTAGTAATAAACTATTCGATCAATATTCTAAAAATCGTATTAAAATCCATGGAAGAAAAGAAAATGTGAAGAAAAATTAAGGTCTACAATGTGTTTTAAGATAATTTATGAGATAGGACGACAAAAAAAAAACAAATTTATGAGATGATAGATATGAAAATGACTTTTAAAACTAGTTTATGATAAAAAAAAAGGTTTATGATACTTTCCAATCTTTATAATTTTCTTAAAACGAGTAAGGTGATCAATCACATCTTTGTGTTTTTTTCCTTACCAATTACATCTTTGTTTTGTGTGTTTTATACTAAGTTAGTTTTTTTTCCATGTTGGAAAAAGAAAATAGTTATCTAACACATAAAATATAAAAAGTTGGATATACTATCAAATTGAGCAAAAAACATATTAAAAATCAAAATTTTATGAGAAGAGTTCAAATACAATTTAAATTAAATACTTAAAGTTTCAAATCATATTAATTTACTTGTTGAATAATTTTCTAAATATGAGTTGTGATAGTAAAAAAAAAAACCCAAACACTTTTCATTTTAATTAAGAAATAAATAGTTTATTAATCTAAAATTTGAAAATTTTACACGAGTCATAAATACGAATAGAAACACAAAAATGATGTATATCCTTTGCGTACACCAACAACAAAGAAACTGTCCTGTTGTGATACGGCCAGCTGTTTACTTTGCATCATTCGAATAACCAAAAAAATTTCTAAATTTAAAGTTCACACAAGACAGCCTGTGAATACACTTCTCCTAATAAGCCTATACCTAAATCA